AGGGGCAGGGGCAGGGTGAGGGGCCTGCCAGGAGAGTGCCCCAGCACGGCAGCCCTCTCAGTATTCCTCGGCCTCCTGCAGCTGGGACAGGTACTCCCTCTGAGAAGGGTTTACGGCGCAGACCCTGCCATTGTTGGGGGGCCGCACAGAGTGGTAGCGGCTCCAGTCCCCCTTACACATGATCCAGGGCAGCCTGTCCAACTTGAAGTGCAGTTCGGGTGAGAATTCCGTGCTGATGAGGTTAGGGGTGCCAGCGCCCTTGCCTCGGGTCAGCAGCCGGTGCCTGGAGTCGTAGCAGCAGTGCTGGGCGGCCAGCGTGGTGCTGTTCTGGGACAGCCGGGAGCGCAGGCAGGAGTCCGCCGAGGGATGGTAGATATCCAGCCGCTCTTTGGGGCCGCTGGCGTCCCTCCACTGGAAGCTGCGGCCCTTCCGCTTGTCCCACAAGCTCACGTCCTGGTTCCTAGCCTTTAGTGGGTATGTGCATGGGCAACTGGGCAGGTCCTGCAGCACCTGGCTCAGGTACTTATCTAAGAAGTCGCTCTTGCAGTTCAGCCACTTCTCACAGGGGTCCACATCTGCAGAGGGCAGGGAAGTGGGGGGAGCTGGGTCAGCCCCTTGGTGTGGTGTGGTTGGGGCTGATCAGGGGCCAGTGCGTGGAGAGGAGGCCAGAGCCCCAGCTGGTGCAAAGGTGGGGTTGGGTAAGGCCTTAGGGGCAGGAGAAGGACCCACACCAAAGCTGGGGCAATCCGACCTGGCCTGCACTGCTGGCAGACAGGGGCTCCCGCACAACACCCAGGCAACCTGAAGCAAGAGGCCACGGTTTAAAACAGACACTGGCCATGGGGCTGGAGGAGGGGCCTAGATGCCCCCGGCTCCGCTAAGGTGTTCCTTTTTCAAGGGTGGGGAACCTTTTTTCTGCAGGGGGCTATTTGGATATTTATAAAATCATTCACAGGCCATACAAAATTATTGTTGTTATGAAAAAAGCTCCTAGATTTATTGAAGTTCAAGTCCCACCTGTGGTTGCCTTGACAGGGCCAGAGGTTCCCTGCCCCTGCAAAATGTAGGAAAGATCCTGGGGAAGGAGTGGGGTGGGTAGGGAAGGGAGAGCAGTTTAAACCAATTGGTAAGAAAATGTTTCAATACAGGGAGGGGCAAAAGTAGGGTTCCAGTTGTTCGTATGGAAAATAACACAATAATTAATACATAATAATACAAAAATAAACTGCTTTGCAAATTCACAACTGGAAACCTACTTTTGCCCCACCCCGTATTTTATCCACTGGCCCATTATTGTTTTTAACTCCGCCTTTCTCAGGCCATATGACCTGGGGTGAGTTGCTCTGCCCCTCTGGGCCCCCAATGGCCCCCTCTGTCTATGCTGCCCTCCCCCACCTCTCTATCTCGGGAGATGTGGCTTCTGACACCTGATACAATATTGAGCTTCTGCAGCACTGAGCAGGGGCCTCATCTGCAAAGGGGGCTGTCCACAGCCTCCTGGCTCCTTGCAAGGTCCAGGTGAGGCTGAGTATGCTGGTGAAAGCCTGGCCTGCTCCAAGCTGCTGGAAGGAGCAGTCCTGGAGTTCTGGATCCTGACCCATTTCTGAGGGCACCCCCTTCCCAGACAAAGCCTGCCCAGGAGTCTCCACGGGTGACCCAGGAGTAGAAGCCAGAATGTCCCCTTTTCATCCTGCTGCCAGGGAGAATATGTCCACGGGATGGTCTCCAAGCTCTGGGCTCCCATCAAGACCTTCCCAGCAGGAATTTCAGGCTGGGAGAGGCCAATGGGCCTGTCTAGGGGCTTCAGAAATGCTAGGGCCCCCTTGCTGGGGAGGCTAATCTTCGAGGTGGAAGATGGAAGCGAGATTCCTGCCTGTGAAATGCTGCTCCACCCTCCCGAGAGAGGTCCTGCCCCACACCCCCAGGGACAGGGCCTAGCCCCCCACTGACCTGAATCTGGCACATCGGTAGCCGGGGGCTCCTCACTGGGTGAACCCGAGGTGTCCTCGTCCTGGGTGCCTTTGGGAAGAGGCCAGGCTAGTGGCACCCCAAGTCCCGATGGGGAAGCCCAGCCCTCACTAGGCTCTGGGTGTCCATAGCATCTGGGACAAGGCAGGGCCACCACGTTTGAGAGCTCCCTGCATCTCCTCTCCCTGGTACAGGGCTCATGCGTCCACATTCCCAGGGGATCAAGCCCAGCGTGTAAGCCACTCCCCACACAGGAGCTGCGGCTCATCTCACCAGGACAGGGGGGCAGGTCGCAATCCTCGTCTTCGGTGGCGGTGCAGCCGTAGCCACAGGACCGAGTCCTCTGCCGGGTGCCACTGCCACAGCTCGCGTTGCAAGGAGACCAGGGGCTCCACTCCTCTTGAGGCTTGTCACCTGGGTAAAGGCAGGGAGCCGGGGGTGAGTGAGCACAGCCACAGGGTGCAGCATGTGGCAGGGCCCCAAGCCAAGTGGACGGAGCAGGGGCTACATTTCAGCCCCTCTCATAAAAAGCAGGAGGTGGCCCTACAGAGATGGCACAACCCGCGGCCACATACTCTATGTAAACACAGCAACAAAGAGGAAAAGGTATCTGGGCTGGAGGCCACCTGACCACTGTAGCTGTGACCTTGAGCAAGTCTCCCTCCATCTCTGAGCTACAGTTTTTATATCAGTCAAAACCCAGGATGGCAATACTCTCCTGTCACAGAGGGTATTAAAGAATGTCCCTGCTGCCCACGTTAGGGACCTGGGCCTGGTGAGAGACCTGAAACACCCCTGACTGCACCCATGGCCCTCTGGCTGTGCAGGGCCTGGGACCCAGGGCTCTCTGTGGATCCCTCAGCGTAATGACAGAGCAAGTACTCTCTTCACTTTCCAGGCAGGCCCGAGCAGGCTGGCACCAAGAGTTTAAGGACAATTAACGGAAGAAAAGCTGAAAGTCATGAAAATGCTGCCTCCTAGTTTATACTACTTTGGTAAAATTGGGAAAAGGCTACTATAACTTAGTCTTAATCATAATCATAGGCACCGCCATTCAACGATGAAGCAACAAGCTCGGGGGAGAATGGCTGCAAATATGCACAATGTGGTCTGCACCCAGGGAAGTCCCGAACTACAACATGCAAAAATAAAAATGGCTGTCATGCGGGGTTGGCAGGCTTTCTGTGATATTTTCTGAACAGACTGTATTATACTGTTTTCTAATAAAAAAATAAAAATAGCCAATACTGCGTTTACTACATGCTGGCACTTTAAATGCATCAACTGACTCAATACCCTCTACACCCAATCCCAGTAGTAAGGGTTGTGCCATTCTCCATTTTATAGAGGAAGGAACTGAGGCACAGAGAGGTTAAGTAACTTGCCTAATGTCATTCAGCTGGTAAGTGGCAGAGTCAGGGTTCAAACCCACACAGTCTGAAAACGAAGTCAGTTGTGAGTGGTAGGATTTATAATATTTCCCAATTTACTGGAAACTGATAGATAGGGATATATATAATATTAATAAATGTCTGTTTTGCTTAGGGGACCTCAGGGCTATTGTGGGGGTCAAATGCTTGGGGGGGAAAACTTTGCAAGCTATGGGTGATGCTACTATTTAGCTGATGATGGTGTTTGTACAGGCCTAAGCTCCTGGTTCCCCAGCTGCCCCTGCCCAGGAACTCTCAGCCCTCCCTGGTAGCAGCCAGGGATGCCAAGATGGGGGTGCTTACTGTTGAGGTCCTTGAAGGCCAAAAAGCTGGAGGACAGCGAGCCCCGCTTCCAGATGCCTATGGCTCCACTGAACTCGTCCTCTTTCTCATCGCTGCTCTCACGGTACTCTGAAAAGGAGTCCTTCCCTCCTTCCTCCTTTCTCCTTGGGACTTTGCCGCTGAGACTGGACCTCGCCCTCTCATCCCGCAGGTAGCCCCAGAGGAGGGGCCAGGAGGCCTCCTTGGCGGTTAGCCAGCTGGGGGCACCTTGGGGCCAGTGACGACTTGCCTCGGCCAGCAAGTCCCCCTCCACCTTGGCCTGGGTGTCCTCCATCGCCTCAGTGCTCACCTGCAGGGAGACAGAATCCAGGCTAGTAAGTGAGGGAGGGCTCGGGCTGGACACCAACAAGAGGGAGATGACAGGCAGGGGGATGACAGGCCTTCCTGGCCTCCCAGGGCACCTGGGGTCACAGCCTAAGACCTGGCAGTGTATCAGTCCCCTGGAGGTTCCTGACTCCCCAACCCTACCACAGACATGGGTTTAACTGGTCTCAGGTGGGGCCAGGCATGGCGGCTCTCACATGTGCCAGGGCAGAGACCCACTAGTGGTAAGAGACGGGGACAATGAATTTTGGCTTCATCCGCCTGTAGGCTGCACAACCTCGGGGGCTACTAACAGCCCTGAGCTTCCATTTCCTCCTGGTAGAACCAGGACAGCAAATCCCCAGGGCGGCCCCCAGGGGGCGAAGAGGGGTCTCTTTCGCCACATTGTGGAGGGGAAATGAAATCATGTATGTCAAAGAGAACTTTAAAAACATCCCTTGGGGTTATTATAAATTAATCTGAGGTCACTCAACAAAATTTGGGGGGAAAACAGCGAAATATAAAGAAGCGAGTGAGCGTTGCCCATATTCCATCGCTGACAGATACCATTTTGGTGACTAACTTTCCAGGTTTTACGTATACACGTGCGCACACATCTAGGCACACGCATATACTTTTAAACAATGTTACAGTTACATCCTACACTTTTCTTTTGGTGAATGTGTTTTGTAACTGTAGATGCTACACAAAAATGCAGGCTTACTACCATTAGGGATTCGGAACTGGCAGTGGAGTACGTGAACCGGAATTCCACTGGCCGCTCTGGTGGCAGTCCCCTACCCACCGAACTCGAGCCCCCCTTCAGGGCACTGCAGTAAGGGGCTGGGCCTGGGTGGGGATCAGACCTTCAGGCTTTCCCACAAGGCTTCCCAGAGATTTCTGGAATCAAGAAGCATTCTCTGTTCTTTTGGTCCCATGACAGCCCTGCCAGGTTGGCACTGTTTGTCCCTTGCTATGGACTAGGAGCCACATGAGTTGCTCTTGGTCTGCAGCTTAAAAGCAGAGAAGCAGGTGCTCCCCCTACAACTCCCCAGGGACAGCATCGGGAGTCAACTTCAACCCCTCACAGGACCCGCGCCCTCCAAGGAATACAGGACAGGACGCCTGACCTCAGAGCTGAGCCACTGAGCCCAGCTCCTGTCCAGGTGTTCGCTGGGTGGTGGCCCTTCTGTAGCTCTCACCTGGATATTGGGGTTCGGGGTACTCAAGTCTGTGTTGGCCAATCCTGGCAGCTTCTGCAGCTCCAGCAGCAGGGGAGTGTCCTCCTGGGTCCCAGGAAGGGCTGCCTTTTGGGGGCCGGTTCCTGGGAGCAGTGGGGTCTCCTCTTCCCTAGGAGAGCTGGGGTCTGGGGAGGCTGAGACCTAAGGGGGAGAGGGGGAGGATGTTTTGGGGTTAGCAAAAGTAGGTACTAATGTGAGTCTCCTGTAAGAGTGAAGTGGTATAATGTGAGCTTTCGAAAAGCAGGGCATGCCTCTCCCGAGATATCTCTCCATTTTCTCTGTGTGTGTGTGTCTCGCTCTCTCTCACATACACACACAGACCTGCGAGTACCCTCCCAGGCTTGCCCAGCAGCCCTGACCCTCGCGTTTCCAGCTAACGCAAGAGCCCTCATCCGCACAAACCCTCCCTGCGCTGCGCGAGCCTGCCTGCTAACCCGGCCCAGCTCCTCACAGTTCCCCCTTCTCCCTTCTCTCCACCTCGGTCAGGCACTTGTTCTGGATAATGAAATCCAGTTGCCAGGGGCAGGCCGGCACCTCCCCTCCCCGCTGCTGAGGCCCCGCCATCCACACAGAGCCAGGCGCGCACACAGTCACCGCGGCCTCCCAGGAGGTGCTGCAGACCCAGCACCAACAGCCAGGCTAGAGGCCCAGGGGCCCAGGCAGGGGCTGGACTTCACCATCCACGCAGGTGGGGACCGGCCTAGCCCAGCCCACCCTCAAAGCAAATCCCTGTAATAAGAGGACTACTGACAGCCGTGCTCCAAGCACCAGGGCTGGCTGGTCCTGTGAGACCCGTGTACCTGCCCGTGTACCTGCCCAGGGCCCTGCGCCTGGTTTAATGCTCTGCTGTATCCATCATGAAATGCTGGGAGGCCCCGCACAAACCACAGGCCGTACAAACCACGCAGCGGGTCCTGCCAGGCACCCTGTATGTATTGACTCCAATCCTCCTTCGGGCAGGTACGAGCATCTTCCCCACCTCAGAGAGGAGTCAATCGAGGATCAGAGAGGCAAAGTAACTGGCTTGGGGTTGCAGAGGGGGCCGGCGGAGCAGGATGTGAGGCAGGTGGTCTGGCTGGACCCTGCTCTTAACCCTTGTGCTCTGCAACTCCAGGGGCCTTCCAGTTCCATGCCGGCCACTCTGGGGTGCTGAGTGTGGTGAATGAACAAAACACTAGAAACAGATGTTCAGCTTTTCAAGTTCATCTTTCCCTTTGATCCTCCTAACAACCCAATGAGAAGCCAAGGGGAGGAGTGAGATTAGGAGACTGAGATCCAGGGAGGTTGGGGACTTGCCTGGGACCACCAGCAGCCGAGCCTCTGGGCGCCTGCCCATTGCTGTCCTTCCCTCTCTCCCTCAACCAGCTTTCCTGTGGTTCCGAACTCCAAGAGCGAGAAGAATGGTCAGAAGGGAAAACAAGGCACAGCCACAGGCTCGGCATCACGCAGGCCTGGACTGCAGTTCCCCTTCTGACACTCACTGAATTCACTGGTTGGGCTACAGAGGCCCCAACCCAAGAAGGCCAAGCTTCAGGAAAATACCTGCTTCTTAGTGTCACCCACCTGGAAGGTGAGACCTTTCAACGCACAACAGCCCTCCTGCAATCCAGCCGGTGCCAGGCAACTGGCTGAACAATGGACCAGGACCGAAGTGCTAAGCACCCCTACCCCGTGCAAGATGGCCCCAGGCTTGGAGGGTCCTTCCTCTGTGCTCAGCTCTTCAGTTTTTATTGTTTTGGGGTTTTTTTAGAGAGAGGAAGGGAGAGGGGGAGAGACAGAAACAGCGATGGGATTGGCTGCCTCCTATATGCCCCCTACTGGGGATTAAGCCCACAACCCAGGCATGTGCTGTGACTGGGAATCCAACCAGCAACCTTTTGGTGCATGGACAACGCTTAACCCACTGAACCACACTGGCCAGGGCACAAAGTGCTTTCTTCCCTGGAGACTCAGTCTGTTGCTGCTGCAGGAACCTCCCCAGCTCTGACCCTTCATGCAGGACAGTCCCTACAGCCTGGAAGAGCTGTCCTCTCAGTTCTTCTCTTGCCCATTCTGATCTCCATACCCTTTAACATGCACTAATAGCATGGTCCAAGCTCTGCCAAAGTCCCCACCACCCCTTCCCCCCACCCCAAGGTCTTCCCTTACCTGCCTAGGAGCTGGTGGGTGCCAGGACTAGTGCCCAGGGCTCTAGAATTAAGCAAAGCTGGGCCTGGATCCTGGCTCACCGCTTACTAGCTGCCTAACTGTAGGTTAGTTATTGGGTCCACTGTCAGTTTTCTCACCCCTAAAATGAAAACAAGACAAGAACCACAAAATGCTAGGCACGGTGGCTGTTGGGTACTGTTCTGATCTTAATTAAAACGGAAGACACCCAAGGCGGAGCTGTGTCATTCTTTGCCTAGCCAGCACCCTTGTAACAAAGTGCCTGGTCCCAGCCCCTTGCAACGACCGTGCCACCCATGTATCTGTCCTGTGCTTTCACACCCAGCAAGCCATCTGACAGAACGGGTTCCCGAATTTCCATTGGGCTGTAGGAGTAAACTGAGGCTCAGCAACAGGCCTGCCCAGAGAGCGGGTGGCATATTTTGTTCTCGATGCTAATGATTTCGAAACTTTTCAAGGCCTTGGATGAGCGGGCTGGGGCATGGCATGCAAAGGGAGACCATAAGATCCCCAGTGCAGCTCCTGAAATTGCAAACCTGGCTCGCAATCCCAGCTAGGTTTAACATCTCTGCGCCTCAGTTTTCTCATCTGGAAAGTGGGAATAATGCCCAAGTCAGAAAGGTGTGACAATGAAATGACATCATGTAAAGTCTCTGAACCGACTCTGCAAGGCCCGGGGAATGCTCACTACCCCTCAGCCATCCTACGCCTTTAGATCTGGTGGGTTTATATTCCCCGGTTTCTCCACAAAGGTCTTTGAATTGGTCCTTTCTGACGTTTCACCCGAGGCCCTTAGAATAGCAGGCTGCGCTCTCTCAACAATTCCTTAACCTGCACCTTTGCTGTGCAGGAGATGACTCGGCCCTTCATTTTTGTTGTTGTTAATCCTCACTGGAGGATATTTTTTTCCATTGATTTTTAGAGAGAGTGGAAGGGAGGAAGGGAGGGGGGAGAGGGCGAGGGAGAGAAACACCGATGTGAGAGAGACAGGGCAGTTGGCTGCCTCCACACGCACGTGCCCGACCANAGGGAGGGGGGAGAGGGCGAGGGCGAGAAACACCGATGTGAGAGAGACAGGGCAACTGGCTGCCTCCACACTCACGTGCCCGACCGGCGGCCCAGGTATGTGCCCTTGACCGGGAATCAAGCCCGAGACCACTCCCGCCTCCCTTGGAACAAGTCCAGCAGGTTTTGTGCCCATGGGGATGAATGTCCACCCCAGTCCCCAGTCCGAGGAACAGCTGGACGGTTGACCCCGTGACAGCAGACACAGCTTTCGACAACTATGGTTTCTCTCCATGCCTAACACCACTCCTCAAGGTCTCGGCCCTGTCGTGATGACCTCGGCTGCTTTCCAAGGTCATAGTCACGCGAAGGTCCCCGGCGGGCTACCCACAGCCGGCAGGCTGAGGACCCACCTTACCTCGCCTCAGTTCGCGCCCAAAGGGCTCAGACCCTTCGCAGATTTGCTTCAAGAGGCTGCGCCTCGACCGCGTGACCCTC